TCATGGGGGTGCTTGCAGACGAAGTTGATCCCCGCGACGTATTATTACGCTTGCGCAGGAGCCCAGCACCTCTGTATCGGCTTGCTTACCCAATGCAAGAACTCTGTCGTGGAAGTCGCCAGCGCTTGGGTCTAGAAAGAAGCCTTCCGCAATGAAGAGTTTCATTAATGCGTCAAGCTGTTTTGCGCTCGAGTGCTGCTGCTTTGGCGCAGCAGCAGGCCAGCAAGCCTCCTGGACTACCACCAGTACCACGTCGTGTGCAAGTGAGTGACGGAGGTTCATCGACTCTTGGATGGAATGCTTGGCTCTTGTTCTTGATCTTGATTCAGCTGACGTTTGTCACTCTGTTTGCCGCCCTCTATTTTAGCTTCTAGGATACCCATGCGTTCATTTTGGCGCTTCACTAGCTGAACTAATTGGTCAATCACTCTACGTTGGTCTTCAATGAGCGTGTTGTCGTGGCTCAGCTGCTTGGGTGGTGCGGTGTCTCTGTCGTCTATGGTCAGGTTCGTTTCGCAGGCAGCGCCAGAAAGATGGGTCGACCAAGCAAGCAAGTCCGCAAGCGACGATCCTGCCAGTCGTACACAGACCTGGTCCAAGCGCTTCGCCGCTGGCCCCTCTGGGTGGGCCTCCTCAGCTGCGGATAGCGGAGAAGAAGGTTAATCCGTTAACAAATCAAGGACAGACTCACGTTGTACTTAACTTGATTCAGCTTGAAGCACGTTGCGAATAGGTACGCCTGGACAGCTTCGATTTTCTCGTGCGTCTGCGCGTCGAAATACTGTAAGTCCTTCAAAGGCACCGTAGCGGTGGTGCTGTATCCAGTGAGAGCCTTGCTAACCTTGCGATCTTCGCGGCTTGTGTTGAAGATGTAATTGCAGCCCTTGTTCGCTGTGTTCATTTTCTAGGCACCACGGTCGAAGATCCAGCGATGTTAGAGGCCATCATATCCACGTGCTGTGCTCCGCCCCGGCGAAACGAGTGGGACTTAAACGCTAACGACCGTAGTTGCGGGGTGCAGCATTCCTCAGTATGTATGGACGGATCGGAAATCTGTATTGGGAAGAAAAGAATACGTCCTAAACGAGTCCTAAAATGTCATATTTGTCCTAAAAACATCTCCGTTGCTTATCTGCTACTATAAATCTTTAATTTTATAAAAATATCAGTGTTCTTTAATTAGATAGACAACGTGCCGTGTCCTATTATTCGAGGCTTCTCAGACGGAGGGATACATATTCGTATTGA